ATTACAGACAGGGGCGGAGACAGAGAGAGGCGGGAAAAAAACCTGAAAAACTTTCTACGGTGGGGAGGGGTGGATAATATCTCTCCTGTTTCATATCCCATAATTTCTTCCTCTTGTTAGTGTTTGCCATCGCCACGCCGATGTGGTGGATGAATGTTGTGCCTCATTCCCTGCCGCTCCTAATTGGTGCCCTGGGGAGCAGGGGATGAAGGGAAGTCTGTCTTTAATTGCCCCTTTTCTGGAGTGGTGTGACCATCCACACTCTCCTCTTTCGCTCATCCCTCATTCTGTCTGTCTTTCTAGTTACAAACTTTGCTGGAATGCTATAGTGAAGCATTGGGCCTCAAAACCACAGATTAATGTCAAACCCCGCCAGCATCTTTTCTCATTTCCTCATACTGCGTGACTGCGTCATGTTTAGAGGCTGTGGCATGTTTTCTTTAAGCCATGAGATGTGCGTTCTTCTTTCATGAGGATAGAAGGGCTTTTTCGTGGGGTGTCATGAATGCTGTCAAGCTCCAAAAATGTTCCATCTGTGGTCCATCTGAGAGCACATTTCCACACAGCCTTCAACACATCATGGTCACATCAGGAAGTGTTAGGGAGAGATAGACGAGGGGATAGAGACAGTATGGAAGCTTATTTTCGGCATGAAAAAAAAAAAAAGCCTATATATAAGTTTAGCCTATATCTCACAAATCTGACTTTTTTTCATAATTGCAAGATACGAACTCAGAATTACGAGATATAAACTATCTTGCAATTCTGAAAAGAAAAGTCCAAACCGTGAGATATAAATTTGCAATTACAAGAAAAAGTCAGAATTGTGAGATAAAAAGTTGCAATTACCTTTTTTTTTTCGTGGCAGAAACATGCTCCTTTTTCCCCTCCCGATTCTAAGTTTATGTCTCACAATTTGGACTTTTATTCTCAGAATTTCTAATTAATAAAGTTTATGCGTAAAAAAAAAAGTCGGAATTACGAAATATAAACTAAAAAAGTCACAAATGTGAGATAAAAAGTCATAATTTGCATAATTCACGTTGGATAAAAGTGTCTGCTAAATGACTAAATGTAAATAATTACCTTTTTTATTTTATTTTTTCCGCGGTGGAAACAAGCACCTTTTTTAGCTCACAATTCTTTTCTTACAATTGCGAGCTTATATTTCACAATTTCTACTTTTCGTCTTAGGACTGAGAGTTTATATCCCATTTATAGATCAATTGAGAAAAAAGTTAGGATTGCAAAGAAAAAAGGCCCAGTTGTGAGATGAAAAATTAACTTGCTAGAGCCACGGAATAAAAAGAAAAAAGAAAATAAAAAAAGGTAATTGAAACTTTTTATTTCACTTCTGACTTTTTGTTTTCTTTTATATTTCACAATTCAGACTTTTCTTAGCAGATATGCAGGTTTATATACCACAGTTTTTTCTCAGAATTGTGTGATTACATCTCAAATTATGAAAAAATTAAGAATTGTGAGATTTAAACTCATTCATTCATTCATTCCACAGCATAAATAAACTTCCATAAGTCAGAGCTCTACAATTATGAACAAAACAAACTGTGGTTTACAGTGAATCCAAAGGAAAATACAATCATGCTCTCCAAGGTGCCTGGGTGCAGACAGAAGACAGTTTGTGGACAGGAGATAGGATAGATTGCTCCACGGACTGAGATTTCATTTACGAGGAGGGCAAGGCTGTTGTTTCCTTCTTTCTGTTTTCATTTTGAATTGAGGACTAGAATGTCTACTTGATATTTCATTCACTGTATCACTTAAAGTCAAACGCTATCCTTTTTTTCAAAAGTCTCTTCTTGAAACAGAACTCAAGAAAATGGACACAATGTAATATGACCTTTTGCAGTGGCACTGTACACAGAATATGTTACAGCCAAGTTATACAGCTATGCTCATAAGTTTACATACCCCTTGCAGATTGCAAGATAATTTCAACAAAACAAGAGGGATCATAAAAACTGACAGTAGCACTGTCCTGTGTCACACAACAGATTTTTACATTAAGTACACATCTGACCTGACCTGATGGATTTTTCCGAAGAGCAGTGGGGTAGTTTAACTGCTCAGGGCAAACAAGGAACAACTATCACAAAGCATAACAGTCATTGATCATCCGGTAAGGTAACAACACATAGTTCTGGACCATTATTTTGGTCTTGTGACTATGTAAGCATCCATTATGTGAAACTGTACATTACTACATAAAAGGTAACATGCTATTTTTTTTTTGATTCATCTTATTTTGTTAAAACAATTACCATCTTGCATATTCTACAAGGGTGTGTAAACTTATGAGCAAAACTGTATTTACAATATAGGATTCTTATATTATCATGTGACATTACAAATGGTGACAGCTCTAATGCCAAATGCTTTACTGTGAATGTCTCATTACATGTCTGTGCAGCACCCCTGAAAAGCATTGGGACACAGTTTGTACATGATAAAAAATAAATTAAAGTGGAATATGCAAGGTTTTCTCAGCTAACTTTACATACATTTTTATTTTAACTATCAGAGTAACCAAAGACAGCAGTTCAAACCATTTTAACTGAGAACATTTTTCCGAAGAGCAGTGGGGTAGTTTAACTGCTCAGGGCAAACAAGGTACAACTATCACAAAGCATAACAGTCACTGATCATCCATGTAACAACACACAGTTCTGGACCATTATTTTGGTCTTGTGACTATGTAAGCATCCATTATGTGAAACTGTACATTACTACATAAAAGGTAACATGCTATTTTTTTTTTGATTCATCTTATTTTGTTAAAACAATTACCATCTTGCATATTCTACAAGGGTGTGTAAACTTATGAGCAAAACTGTATTTACAATATAGGATTCTTATATTATCATGTGACATTACAAATGGTGACAGCTCTAATGCCAAATGCTTTACTGTGAATGTCTCATTACATGTCTGTGCAGCACCCCTGAAAAGCATTGGGACACAGTTTGTACATGATAAAAAATAAATTAAAGTGGAATATGCAAGGTTTTCTCAGCTAACTTTACATACATTTTTATTTTAACTATCAGAGTAACCAAAGACAGCAGTTCAAACCATTTTAACTGAGAACATTTTCCACTAACGTTTGACCAGAAAAAAAAGTGTAAAAATAGTTTTATAACCATAATTTTAAACATAAGTAACTGTATTCTTCAAAACCTAACAAAAGTCTTTTTTAAGTGTTTTGCTTTAAAAGTAAGCTCGTGCACACATTCTTTCAAACAAATGATATTTTGTTACCAAATGCATTATTTCAAAATCACAATGGACTCTGCTTCAATTACATTAGTAAACTGAACAGTTCTTGATTTTACCTCGGACTCATCTGTGGATTCTTCACTTAATTTTCTTCCCTGGAAAGAAAAAAAGATGTTTTAAAAAAGAAAAAGCAATGCATTAATGGGGGGGGGGGGGGGCCTTTCAAATATATATGCAATGGGAAAGCACTGTTCTACACCCAATATTAAAAATGTAATTATGTAGAAATCATACATTTATAGTTTTTCATTTTGCCAGTAACTTTGCTATCATCCCTGCTGAAAAAGCTAGTTAAAATAATCTGGTTTAAGATGGTCTCCCAGCTTGTCCAGCTGACAAGTGTCCACAAGCCAGTAAACAGACCAGTATGGGAGAGCAGCTAAACCAGGAAACGAGTTTAAGACAAGCTTTTATTTTTTAGCAAGAATAATAACATTGGCAGTGTTAAGCAGTGATATTGGCAAGTGTTAAACTATCGAGTCTGACAGCTTCAATAACACGACTTTAAAATAGTTCCTTTAAAATATAATTTACAACTGCAACCTCGAATAGCCAACACGCATTAAAAATTAAACATATAGAAAAATAATATGTATAATCACAGGCTTCTGTCATTTGACAGAATGTTTTCTTCCTTCAGAAACCTACCTGCTCCTCCACTTCCGCCATGATAGAGGCTCCAGATGTGGGATAATAAGGCAGATTTAGTCGTAGTCTACTAATTTAGGGTCTATCAACAACGTTAATAATATTTATGTACACTTAAATCAGTTATTTTGCACAATAAACCAAGCAGCTAGTCATGCGACACTCATTAGTATGGGTACTGGGTCACATGACAAAAACAGGAAACACCGCTAGAGCATCATGGGAGTTGTAGTTTAAGTGCAAGGGAAAGAATTCGCCTGCACACGACCTTTTCGTGTTTAAATTTACTTTCGTACAAGGGTCATTCTATGGAAACGTCCACTTTTCTGTCCCTAGCCTTTACAGAAATATTACACTTGAAAAACACTTTAGCGTTACAATTTTTTTATATTTTAAAATAAAACAATGTGTTATTTGAACAATTACACCTTCTTGAGCCATCAATGTGGCAATATTTATTTTTAATTAATTATAAAAAATTCCAAGCACCACAAAACTACTCGTCCCCACAGCCATGTACAGAGGAAAAGTGCTTTATTTTGAGGTCAAAAACTGTTTTTTCTACCATTTAAAATACAATGATGTATTCATAACTATCAAATATATGATGTAAATGACATAAAAAAACTAAATGCCAAATAAATATTATAAAATATATAATGAAAGTAGTGGTCCTCTGGAGTTGTGTCACTGGTGTTACCGTTTAACATAAATCATTTATTTTGAAATAAAAATCACACTGATGACATCACTTGACTTCCTTCCTCCCATTTCCTGAAGATTTATGAAAAAAAGGCCCATGTGAAGTCCACTGTCTCTTTTCAGTTATCAGAAATGTTCTCATTTATCTCATGATTTCATATGAAGCTTTTAGTGGAAGTCACTGGTATGACCTACTTTATTATTAGGGAATTGTAAAAAAACTAGAATACAAATAGATTAAACTACTCAATTTAATAAGTATACCATGATTGACAACATGTGGTTTGATACCTTGCAGCAGACATTTTGTAAAATGCATTTTTCATGAAAATTGTCACTGGTGTTTCTGTCACTGGTGTTACCTTCCTAATGGGTAACACCAGTAAAGATCAGTTTACGTTGATGCTCTTTTACTAACTGCCTTCACTGATTGCCAAATGTATGCCAAATGTAACAATTTAGTCTTATCTACTTAATTGTAGTTAAAGAATAAGGATCTTTGGTCTTATGTATGTCACTGGTGTTTCATATTGTGTCACTGGTGTTACTTTTTTTCTGTCACATTAAATAAAATGCGTCACATGTGACATGAAAATCATTTTTACATCCATTGAATTCTGCTTCACTCAAGAGTTAAGATTTAAAGGATTGCATCATTACTTGTTTATAACTGTTTTTACAAATATTTTCATTGTTATAGCAAAATACATGGTTGCGTAAATGAACTAACATCATTCAATCACACTTTTAACAAACCTGATTAAAATAAATAATACATAATCTCCTTATTTGTTACATTATCATCATTTTCCTGTAACTCTGACTACATGTACTAAAAAAATTGAGAAATAATATTTCATAAAAACCTTTAAAATTGCCAGAGAAGTAAGGTAACACCAGTGACAAAAAAATGGTACATGTGGTTTTTAAATAAATGCACAAAAAATATAAAAAATCATTAAGCTGTCATTTATGTGTATTCATAAAGTCAAAAGATAATATAATAATGTGGTCTAAGTTTAAATGTTATAAAAATAAATACATTTTAAGACATCTTGCCATACCAAAAGTGGACATTTCTGTAGAATGACCCACAAACGCATTTTCGTCGACCCCCATATTTTATTAAATCAAATCATAATTCAACATCTGCATGTGAGCAACAGATTTGAATGTCACGTGCAAATATAGGCTATTTTGTCTATATAAATCAGCTGACCCTACAGAATCACTGGCATCTACCTTAATCTTTTTGCTTGTTCATACACATCAGTCAAGAAGAGGACCTGTGATGAGATGTAATTTGACATTGTTAGATTTGTAACAGATAGACTGCTATAGGACAGGATCATCTGAGACAGGCTGTCAATGTGTCTCATATGTTTATGCTGATATGGCGGCGGGATGAGCTTTGTTCTTGCCATATTCATACAGGTAATGAGTTGGGATATCAGCTCCATTCACTTAAGTTTGAGGCAATTATTAAAATTTGTTGGGCAAAAATTATGCAAATTAGCTTATGCACATCAAATATCCATAGAACTGTATTTTAATGTTTGCATAATAAATGTTGGTCATATACAATTAGATCAAAACTAACACATAATCGCATTGCATCAATAATGAGGACTTACATCAGCTCAAAAGAAAAAGGGGAACTGATATTTAGCATAGCTTGCAGCAGTGAAATCTTTTTCCCCATCTTGTTGAAATAAGATCATATATCTAACCTGCCCCCCATCTCCTCTCCCCCCAGATCGATCTTGGCATGCTGGTGCAGTCTGACGTGGGCAGGGGGGCGAGTGGGGAGCACTGGCCCTTCCTCTCACCCTCATCACCCTCTCTATCCCCCACCGAGGCCGGAGAAGAAAGCCCTGCTGGGAATACAATCAACACATTCTACCTTAGATCTTAGCCAATTCAACTGATAATCCATGATTTTTTTGTTGTTGTTGTAGTAGTTATCTGAGAATCAAGATACTTCGAATTTACTGCAGTTCCCATTCAATATGCATATAGAGTGCGGTGTTGATTACATGCTTTTGAAGGCCTGTAAATTAGCATCACCCTGGTTTCCTCGACAAAAACCCAATAGGATTTTTATATTGGCAAATGGATCTTTACAAAAAGTAATGTATTTTTAAAGTAATTTTTTTTTAAGGACATAAAGTCAACTCTCCTGATGTTATAATGAAGACAAATTAAAAGCATCATTAACACAATGCAATTCTTGAAAAGAAAGTCTTTTTAGTAGTTTGGCATAGCCATTATTATTTTCAAGAATATTTTAAAGGGGTCATATGATGCGATTTCAATTTTTCCTTTCTCTTTGGAGTGTTACAAGCTCTTGGTGCATAAAGAAGATCTGTAAAGTTGCAAAGACTAAAGTCTCAAATCCAAAGAGATATTCTTTATTAAAGTTAAGAGTCAGCCACGCCTACCTAAAGCGGCTCGTTCTAACACGCCCCCACATGTCTACGTCACTATCTGGGAAGATTTGCATAACGCCGCCCAAATGTTCACGCAAAGAAAGAAGGCGTAACTTTTATTCTCACTGTAGTATTGTTGTTGCCGCCATCAATGTTGTGAAGGCGCTGTGTGTTTTGTTGTGAAAGCGAAACTACTTTGTTTGGCCTTCCAAAAGAGGATGATATCTGCTTCGTCATGCCTGGAGCTGATCCGTGC